GCCACTGCACTCCAGGCTGGGCGACAGAGTGAGACTCCAACTCAAAAAAAAAAAAAAAGTTGATCTCGTGAAGATAGAGAGTAGAATGATAGATATCAGAGGCTGGGAAAGGTAGAGAGGTTTGTTAATGTGTACAAACATATAGTTAGATAGAAGGAATAAGAAGGAAAATGGCTTAATGTTCCCATTTTACAGTATATCATTGTGCTATTCATATTCCAGCCATCTCCATAAATCAAAATTGGTACGTTCACAAAAAATGCTGTAAACTAAAAGGTTAGTACATTTAGGTTTTATTAGACCAAAAGAAACCATATCTAGAGTTTAATAAATTGCTTTCTCGTTCTCTACTACTCAGGCTGGGATTGATTTAGAAGTCAAAATTTTAAATTTCATTTATTTTAGCAAGATACACATAACTTTTGTTAGTGAGCTGTAAAAATGCAAGACAAAAAATTTTGTTTTTGAGACAGGGTCTCTGTTGCCTAGGCTAAAGTGAGGTGATGTGATTATAGCTCACTGCAGCCTCAGAGTCCTGGGCTCAAGTGATCCTCTTGCTTCAGCCTCCTGAATAACTGAGACTAAAGGCCACCATGCCTACCTAATTTTTTTAAATTGGGGTCTCTCTCTGTCACCCAGACTGAAGTGCAATGGCTTGATCCCAGCTCATCACCTCCAACTCCTAGGCTGAAGGCATCCACCCTCCTCAGCCTCCTGAGTAGCTGGGACTACTGCGGGTGCGCGCTACCACACCCAGCTAATTTTTAAATTTTTTTGTAAAGTCACTGTTTCACTATGTTTCCCAGGCTGGTCTCAAACTTCTAGGCTCAAGCAATCCTCCTGCCTCAGCCCTCCAAAGTGCTGGGATTACAGGTTTGAGCCATGGTGCCCAACCCCTAGCTAATTTTTTACTTTTATTTTTGTAAAGGTGGAATTTTGCTATGTTACACAGGCTGATCTCAAACTCCTGGCCTCAAGCAGTCCTCCTACCTCCGCCTCTCAAACTGTTGAGCTTTACAGGCATGAGCCACCATACCCAGCCAAAACTAATTTTTGGGTACCTCAGATAGTTTTTTTTTTTAAATTGATACAGAATATTTGTACATATTAATGAGGGTACACGTGATATTTTGTTACATGCATAGAATATGCAATGATGTTTGGGATATCTATTACCGCAAATATTTATCATTTCTATATGTTGGGAACATTTCAAGTCCTCTCTTTTAGCTGTTTTGAAATATATAGTGCATTGGGCTTTTTTTGTTTTTGTTTTTGTTTTTTTTAAGTTGGAATCTCACTCTGTCGCCCAGACTGGAGTGCAGTGGCCGCTCTCGGCCACCGCAGCCTCGACCTGCTGTGCTCCAGCGATCCTTCTGCCTCAGCCTTCCAAGTAGCCGGAATTACAGGCGCGCGCTACCACGCCCGGCTAATTTTTTGATTTATTGTAGAGATGAGGTCTCGCCAAGTCTGTTGATGGACCCTTAGGTTTGTTCCATATTTTTGAGATCTCCATGGTGGCCATACTAATTTATATTTCCACCAACAGCGTATAAGAGTTTGCTTTTCTTTGCATCCTCACCAACATCTTTTTTTTTTTTTTTTTTTTTTTTTGTCTTTTTAATTATAGCCATTCTAGCTGGAGTAGGATGATATCTCATTGTGGTTTTGATTTGCATCTCCCTGATGATTAGTGATGTTGAACATTTTTTCGTATACCTGTTGGCCATTTGTATGTCTTCTTTTTATAAATGTCTATTCATGTCCTTTGCCCATTTTTAAATGGGATGATGATGATGATGATGATCTTTATTTTTAACTGTTGAGTTGTCGGAGTTCCTTGTATATTGTGGATACTAGTCCCTTGTTGCGGTTATTTTCTCCCATTCAGCAGGTTATGTTTTTACTCCGTTGATTGTTCCCTTTGCTGTGCAAAAGCTTTTTAGTTTAATATAGTCCCATTTGTCTATTTTTGTTTTTGTTTCCTGTACTTTTGTACCTCAAATAATTTTAATAGTAATACCCATTATTCCATTTTAGAGCTGCGTCTTAAGAGTTAGCAGCATAAGGATGATAGCTTGTCCATCTGTGGAAGAAATTCAAATATTTCTCCAAGTAGCAGTGTCATATGCCACAGTATACAAAAGCTAACCATGGTTCAAAAGTGATACCTACCAGAAATAGTGTATCTTATTTTGGCTCATTAACCTTCAATTTTAAAATTGTTTAATTGAGCTGGGCTTGGGGGCTCAGCCTGTAATCCCGCGCCTTTGTGAGGCTAAGGTGAGTGGATTGCCTGAGCCCGCGGGTTCAAGACCCGCCTGGGCAGCGAGACCTCATCTCTACAATAAATCAAAAAAAAAAAAAAAATGCCGGGCGTGGTGGCGCGCGCCTGTAATTCTGGCTACTCGGCAGGCTGAGGCAGAAGGATCGCCGGAGCCCAGCAGGCAAGGCTGCGGTGGCTGGGAACAGCCACTGCACTCTAGTCTGGGCAACCGAGTGAGACTCCAACTCAAAAAAAATAAAAATAAAAAATAAATAAAATTGTTTAATTGATTATATATGTATAACAAATTCTTTACTATCTTAACCATTTTTAAATGTACAGGTCAGTATTATTAGGTGTATTTACAGTGCGATACAATGAGTCTCCAGAACTCTTTTCATCCTGCAAAACTGAAAATTTATACCCATTACACAGCTTCAATTTCCCACTCCTCCAGCCCCTAGAAATCACCATTCTACTTTCTGCCTCAATGGATTTGACTCCTCTAGGCATCTAATATAAATCGAACCATTTTGTCTTTTGGTGACTGGCTTATTTTACTTAGTATAATGTCCTCAGAGTTCATCCATGTTGTGGTATATGTCAGAACTTCTTTCCTTTTTAGGCTAGATAATGTTGCATTATGTATATATACCATATTTTGTTTACCTGTTCATTTGTTGATGGATACTTGGGTTGCATCCTCCTTTGACTATTGTGAATAATGCTGCTATGAATATGATATACAAATATGTCTTCAAGACTCTGGTTTCAATTTTTTTCTATATACCCAGAGGTGGGATGTTTGGATCATATGGTAATTCTATTTTTAATTTTTGAGGACACTCCTTACCATTTTTCTTTTTTTCGTTTGTTTGTTTGTTTTTTTTGAGTTGGAGTCTCACTCTGTCGCCCAGACTGGAGTGCAGTGGCTGCTCCCGGCCACCACAGCCTCGATCTGCTGGGCTCCGGCGATCCTTCCACCTCAGCCTTCCAAGTAGCCAGAATTACAGGCATGTGCTATCACGCCCGGCTGATTTTTTGATTTATTGTAGAGATGAGGTCTCGCTGCCCAGGCGGGTCTCGAACCCGCGGGCTCAGGCAATCCACTCACCTCAGCCTCCCAAAGGCGCGGGATTACAGGCTGAACCACCGAGCCCGGCTCATACCATTTTTCATAGTGGCTTCAGCATTTTACATTACCACCAACAATACACAGGGGTCCTAATTTCTCCACATTCTTACAAACATGTATTGTTTTCTAGTTTTTTTGTTTATTTTAGATAATAGCCATTCTAATTGGTGTGAGGTACTATCTCTGAATGGTTTTGGCTTTTCTTAATGGTTAGTAATGTTGAACATCTTTTCATATGTTTTTGGCCATTTGTATATCTTCTTTCGAGAAATGTCTATTCGAGTCCTTTGCCCATTTTCTGTGTGTGTGTGTGTGTGTGTGTGTGTGTGTGTGTGTGTGTGTGTGTGTATGTGTGTATGTGTATTGCTCTTTATTTTTTTTTGAGTTGGAGTCTCACTCTGTCGCCCAGGCTGAAGTACAGTGGCACGCTCATGGCCACCCCAGCGTTGACTTGCTAGACTCCAGTGATCCTTCTGTCCAGCCTTCCAAGTAGCCAGAATTATAGGTGCGCGCCACCACGCCTGGCTAATTTTTGATTTATTGTAGAGACAAGGTCTTGCCAAGTTGCCCGGGCTGATCTCGAACCCGCGGGCTCAGGCAGTTCACTCGCCTTGGCCTCCCAAAGTGCTGGGATTACAGGCTGAGCCGCTGAGCCCAGTCGGTGCTCATTTTTTAATTAGGTTGGTTTTTGTTATTGTTGAGTTGTATGAATTCATTATGTATGTTAACTCTTTATCAGACAAATGATTTGCAGATGATTTCTCCCATTCCCTAACTGTCCTTTTCAATCTTTTGATTATGTCCTTAGGCCAAAAGATATTTTTAAAGAACTGGTTTGTCATAAAGATGTTTTATTAGTAATCAAGGAAATACAAATTACAATAATGATAATATACAATTTTCATCTATTAGATCACCTTTTAGCAAAAATGTAGGGAAATATGTAGATACATTCCTACATTGATCGGTACAAGTATAATTTGGTACAGCTACTTTGGAGAGCAATTTGGATATATTCATTTTAATTTAAAAGTGTTTCTGTCTTATGACCTAACAATTCCATTTTTAGAGAAACACTTTCACATGAGTACAGTGAGACAGTATACAAAGATGTTCAATGCAACATTATTTTTTGTTGGGAAAAGGGAAAAATTCTATTTTGTATTTATTTTATTTTTTGAGTTAGAGTCTCACTCTGTTGCTCAGGCTGGAGTGCAGTGACATGCTCACGGCCACCACAGCCTCGACTTGCTGGACTCAGGCTATCCTTCTACTTCAGCCTTCCAAGTAGCTGGAACTACAGGTGCACACCACCACACCCAGCTATTTTTTTTATTTATTGTAGAGACAAGGTCTCACCAAGTTGCCCAGGCTGGTCTCGAACCCCTGGGCTCAGGCAATTCTCTTGCCTCTGCCTCCCAAAGTGCTGGGATTACAGGCGTGAACCACTGTGCCCAGCATATTTATTTTATAATATTAAATATATATATAATATTTTATATATATATATAAATTTAGAGACAGGGTCTCACTATATTGCCCAGGCTGGTCTCAAACTCCTGGCCTCAAATGATCCTCCTGCCTTGGCCTCCCTAAGTACTGGGATTACAGGCCTGAACCATCATGCCCAGCCAAAAAATAAAAAAAACTATAGAAGTCCAACAATAGAATAATGACTTAATAACTATGAGAATGAGGTTTATTATATATGCATGTATCTACAATAAAATGGATCTCTCAAACATGGTTGAATTAAAGTAAGTTGGAGAGTGACACAGTTAATATGATACCATTTATGTTAAAGTAAAAGATAGCAATATTACATGTTTTCTGGTGGAATATACACATGTATATTAATGAATTCAGAAAGATCTAGAAGACATATAACATTAATAAGGGTGCCGATCCTAATCCAGGCGAAGTGAAGTCTAATGGGAGACCCAAAACTTCACCTGTACCTAAACCACTTATGTACACAATCCTGATTTGTACCCCACAACTTAAAATAAAATAAAATATTTATTTAAAAAAGAAAGATCTGGAAACAGTACATGCCAGAATGCACTAGGATTGGTCCTTGTAACCAAATAATATTTTTTGAAATATTTTTTACAAGGGAAATTATTTATGTTACTTAGTTTTTGATTTTTTAGACACATTTTCAAAAATTCAAAGGTGGTATAACTAAACAAATATCAAAGAAAGAGTTTATCTGTGTTCCTTAGTCAAATCACTTAACCCACCTAAACCTGGGTTTCCTCATCTTTGTAAAATGCCTAAATTTCAATATGTTATTTGTCTTTAAAATTATTTTCTTGATAACTTTTGTTATTATGTGATACTTTTTATTCAGCTAAACATGAATTCAGCTCCGACTTTCATCAACTTTCCTGCAAAAGGGAAACCCAAACGGGGTGATACATATGAATTGCAGGTGCGGGGTTTTTCAGCTGAGCAGATTGCCCGGTGGATTGCAGACAGAACTGATGTCAATGTAAGTGTCCCTACTTTGTAGACAGTTACTTTATCATTATCACCTTTGAATTTTACTGGGAAGCCCTAAATAGTCTTGTCCCCATATCACTGAGGTGGTGGTATGAGAATCCCCACACAGGACATGTGGTAAGGAAAGTCTGGAATTTCTTTCCATTGTAGACCAAAGTTAACTCAATCATTACCCTGTGAGACCAGCACTAGTGTATGAAGGAACTAGATTTAGTCTTGACTTTTCAATCTCTCTGTGTTTACAAATTTCAATTACTGATGAGACCATGCAGTGCTCTTAAAAGTGGGAAGGGAGCCGGGCTCGGTGGCTCAGCCTGTAATCCCGTGCCTTTGGGAGGCTGAGGTGAGTGGATTGCCTGAGCCTGCGGGTTCAAGACCTGCCTGGGCAGCGAGACCACATCTCTACAATAAATCAAAAAATCAGCCGGGCGTGGTAGCGCATGCCTGTAATTCCGGCTACTTGGAAGGCTGAGGCGGAAGGATCGCCGGAGCCCAGCAGGTCAAGGCTGTGGTGGCCGGGAGTGGCCACTGCACTCCAGTCTGGGTGACAGAGTGAGACTCCAACTCAAAAAAATAAAAAAAATAAAAAGTGGGAAGGTACTTAGCCTATTTGGTGAATTCATTTGACTAAGCTGGCTAAAATTAAAATCAGCTAGCATTTAACAAAATAATCCTGATCAGTGAGTGAAATTATAAAATACCCTCTATTACCCTACTGAATTAAGCATCATTTTCCCTGAAAATAACAATACTAATTTTGATTGCTTTCATTTCCAATTATTTTGACCGATATAATTAGAAAATAAATTTTATATTTTAAAATGTTTCTACTTTAAAATGTTTCTCTTTTTTCCATTAGATTAGAGTAATTAGGCCCCCGAATTATGCTGGTCCTCTTATGTTGGGATTGCTTTTGGCTGTTATTGGTGGACTTGTGTATCTTCGAAGAAGTAATATGGAATTTCTCTTTAATAAAACTGGATGGGCTTTTGCAGCTTTGGTGAGTGAATTTTACAAGACAAGTTACTAGAGTAAAACTGCTAATAATGTATTTTTAGGTAAACTTTCATTTATTCCAAAAGTAGCATTTTTGTTTCTTACCTGAGGGAAAGAATTTTATATATTTTTATTTTCGGCCTTAAAAATCAATCTGTTTCCTCCATTATCTCATTAGGATAGCCAAAGCTTCGAGGAACTGGTTTTACCTACTTTTTATTCAACTTAAATGACAGCCAGTCATTTCTATAAAAATCTGTAGCTCTTTTGAAAGTATTCTTCTAGCCGGGCTCAGTGGCTCAGCCTGTAATCCCGCTCCTTTGGGAGGCTGAGGTGAGTGGATTGCCTGAGCCCGCGGGTTCGAGACCTGCCTGGACAGCAAGACCTCATCTCTATAATCAATCAAAAAAAAAATCAGCTGGAAGTGGTAGCGCATGCCTGTAATTCCAGTTACTCGGAAGGCTGAGGCGGAAGGATCGCCGGAGCCCAGCAGGTCGAGGCTGCGGTGGCGAGAG